TGGAGTGCAATGGCACGATCTGGCTCGCTGCAGCCTCCATCTCCCAGGTTCAAGTAATTCTCCTGCCTTAGCCTCTTTAGTAGCTGGGACTATAGGCATGTGCCACCATGCCCAGATAATTTTTATATTTTTAGTAGAGACAGGATTTCACCATGTTGGCCAGGCTGGTCTTAAACTCCTGACCTCAGGTGATCTGCCCACCTTGGCCTCCCAAAGTGCTGGAATCACAGGTGTGAGCCACCACGCCTGGCCCTGAACATTTATATAATACCCTGCATGGGCCTGTTACCATATTTAATCTTCAGGATGAGCTCATAAGGTATGGGTACTATGATTATCTCCATAGTTTAGAGGAAGAGCAGGAGAGAGTGTCATATCTAAGGTCTCACAGATGATTGGGGCCAGTCAGGGATTTGAAGCTAGGTCTGTCTACTCCAAAGTTTGGGGTACACAGGAGTAAAATGGCAGAGCACTGGGGTGACAGAAGTTGGTTGTGGCCACAGGACATGCCCACAAAGGCTCAGGGTTGCTGTCGGCATGTTGTGGGAGGCCCGGTGGAGAACGCTGGAGAGGGCCAGCGTTTCCTCCTGCACCCTGCAGGCTGCTTTCCCTGACATTTACCAGGCTCTTGAATGCTGTGGGATGTGGCCGCTCACGGCCTCCCTGGGAGGTGTCCCGAGGAAGTGCTGGTTCCCAGGCGCTGGTTTTTGTGGCTGGAGCTCAGAGGAGAGGAACTAGGCAGAGGACCTGCCAGGCACAGGGATCTGAAACTGTGTGAGGAGTGCTGACGCAAGCCAGGCCGCCTGGGTTCAGATCTGGCTTCCCCACAGGATCTGGCTGTGTGACCTTGGCCTGTGCTCTCACCTCTCTGTGCCTAGTGTCCTCCTTTATAAAATGGGGTGAGGAGACCTGCCTCCTAGGGGTGCTGCTCAGATGAGACAAGCCCGTGTGTATGAGGTGCTTAGAGTGACGCCAGGCACATAGCAGCCGTAAGAGTCAGGGGTAAGAACACTGCCAGGAGAGGCTGGAACGAGGGTAGGAGCCGAGTGGTGCAAGACCTCGAGGGCCACAGTGGAGCCTCGATGGTATCCTGAGGGTACAGCGAAGCAGGGGAGGGCTTGAGATCTGCTTCTACATGAATCTTTGTGGTGAGCGACCCCCTAGAGATCCCACCCATATGAGATCTTCCTCCCGCCCCCTTGTTATCTTCTGGTCACCATCTCTTGTGGAACAACCTGGCCCTCTCTTTGAAGCCATCTTCTTTGTTATTAGATAATGTCAGTTGCGTAAAGCCTGTGATTTAATAACGACTGTGGGTCTTTGCACAGCCCCCTTGCTTCTCTGGGCCTCAGTTTCCTCGTCCAGCAGTGCGGGCTGGCTAGTCTCTAAGTGCTTTCAACAGCCCGTGTGCTGGATTCCTGTGGCTGTCAGTGCATGGAGTTTTGTCTGCTGTGTATACACCCCAGAGGTGGGAAAAGGTCTCCTACTTCTTTGTGTTGCATCCCTCCACCTGGAAGGGACAGTCCATGAGAACTTTCATCTTAGTGACAAGGACAGTCCGTGAGAACTCTCCTCTTGGTGACAAGGACAGTCGATGAGAACTCTCCTCTTGGTGACACTCTTCGTGGTGCCGCCATTTTGTATTTTCTGTTTCATCTACCACTTGTTGGTGTGAGCCTAGGAAGAAAGCTTGGAATGGAAGCTTTGTGTGTCCTGCCTAATACTTCCTGACCACATTTCCAGGTGCTTTTTCTCCCTTTATAAACTTCTCAAAATGATCCTTTTTTTTTTTTCCAAAACAAGCTCCTATAAGTGTGGGGGGGAAAAATGATGCTGTTGGTGGCAGAATTCAAGAATTCATTTGAGGCAAGGGTGACAAACGGAACACCAGCGTGCTACTGTTTCCTCTGTTAATTTCCTGCTTTATCTTCAGGCTTCTAGCTCACTTTGTAGTTGTGGATGAGAACACATTTTTTCGTGAGGGCCCCAGCCTGGTGTGTACAGTCTGCTCCTGGTGGTGACCTCTGCTCATAAAGGGGACATGTGTCCCTGTTGGGTGGTCTTTGACAAATAAATTAAGTTTGTTCTGGACTGCTTCTCTACAGGACTTTGCACACTGAAAGTACTCAGGTCTTGATGACTTGAGTTCCAGTCCCTGGATGTCCATCCAGCCATCTTCCCTTGATTCCTTTTGAGCATCAGACATTCCTGTTCGGTTATCTGAGAAAACAATGGGCTTAAGTATTCTGCCCTCATTGAGGGGTGCATCTGATGTTAGCTTCTGAACTTTCCTTGGCCCCAGCAACTGCCTTTGGAGGAGCTTACACTTCTGTCATAAGATGTTTATTAGGCATTTGCACGCGCTGGGTGTTGGGGAGATGGTGATGAATCTGACTTGGTCCCTTCAGCAGGGACCACGGGACGCTGGAGTGAGAGTCAATACATTAACCACCTTTTCTCTTTCCTTTTAGCATAGCCCATATCTTGCTGAGTCATTTCAGGAATTGCACTGTGAGGTCAGGATTTGCAGACTTAATTGTGACAGAGGGCTCTTGCGTATTCTTTGCTTATTCCTTGTCAAGATCATCTAGAGAGCAATCACAAGCTTTATGTTAATTTTTCATGGGGGAGGTGGGGAGGAGTTATGTTTAAATAATGCTTGAAATGCAGATTTCATTGGATGAATCTTAAGAGCCAAGACTCTATGGTTTCAAACCTAAGCAGTCACAGAAGATGTTAATAGCTGTGCTTAAAAGTAGGGAGGGGTTCTTTGGTCAGACGTTGGGAAGGGCTACATACTCTAGCCCACCTTGGAGAATTGCTCTGCACAGCAGCGTTAAAGCCTCTGAGAAGTCCTGCAGTGAAGAAAGCCATCTGATGTTGACTCAGCAGTTTCCAAAGCTTATTAGCGTTCAGAATGTTTCCCCTTTCTCATAAAACCATTTAATATCCTCCAGAATCAGTGTTCCACAAAACGCCCTGGAAATACTCGTGGAAATGACTTGTTTCAGCTGAAAACTACCCAATGACCAGTGTAGGTGGTCAGTAAGAGAAATCAAGTATTTGCAAATGCAGTGGGATTTTTTGGCCCAACTTCTTGGCCCCAAACTGGGGAAGTAGTGTTCTGCTTCCGGACAGGAGTTTACCTTGGAGCACAACCTCTTCATCAGTTGCCATGACTCACATGAGATCCATCCAGGCTGTGTGCTGAGGAATGGCGGAGGTGAGCCCTTGTCTTTCTGCTCTTCAGTGACTCCTGAGCCAGAGCACCAATGAAGTCACTGGCTTCCCTCTTAACTTGGGGCTGCATCTTTAAGCTTGTGTTCTCAGACAACCAAGAAGGCAGGTCTGGGATAGGCAGGGACCTGTCACGGTGCTTCTGTAACAGCCTTGGCATATAATAAAGTGTAATATACAACAATGCTTTTAAAAATTATTTATTTATTTATCTTTAAAACAAGGTCTCATTCTGTCACCCCGGCTGGAGTGCAGTGGTGTGATCTTGGTTCGCTGCAACCTCTACATCCTGGGTTCAAGCAATTCTCCTGCCTCAGCCTCTCAAGTAGCTGGGATTACAGGCGTGCGTCACCACGCCTGGCTAATTTTTTTTTTTGTATTTTTAGTGGAGACAGGGTTTCACCATGCTGGCCAGGCTGATCTTGAACTCCTAGCCTAAAGTGATATACCTGCCTTGGCCTCCCAGAGTGCTGGGATTACAGGTGTAAGCCACCTCATCTGGCCCTTAATAATGCCTTTTTTTTTTTTTTGAAGAAAGATCTATAGACATTCAGACATGGAGAAAAAAATTATGATGGTAGGATTCTGGACAGTTTCTATTTTTTTCTTATTTTCTGTTCTTGCCCTGTTTTCTTTCTTTTTGGCTGTTAACATTTCATTTAAAAATTTTTTTAAATATAACTTCAACTTTTTGGATTGGGAAGTACCTGTGGTTTGTTCCATGGGTATATTACGTGACGCTGAGGTTTGGGATATGAATGAGCCTTTCACCCAGGCAGTGAGCATAGTACCCAATCAGTAGATTGTTGGTCCCTGCCTGCTTCCTGACTCCCACCCCTGTTAGTCCTCATGATCTGTTGTTCCTTCTTCATGTCCATATAGACCCAAAGCTTAGCTCTCACTTATAAATGAGAACATGTGGTGTTTAGTTTTCTGTTCCTGCATTAATTTCATTAATTTGCTTAGGATAATGTTGTCTTGTTTTCTATTGTCAACATGTCTTCCTTTTAGCAAAAGGAAATACTCATATTCTTAAATACACATATACACACACGTGCACACATTGGCACATACACACCTTACGGAAATGACAAGGAAGTAAAAAGTTCCCCTTCAAAGTTTTCCTTCTTATTAAAAAATAATAATAAATGTTAGAAATAATTGTTTTAAAGACTAACTTTCTTCAAGGCCTTCTTGCTTTTTGCTAATAACTCCTTGTTAAGCCCTATCCTATGTAGCTGTTAGACATGCTCATAGGCATGTAGTACATTCTATGTGCTTTAACCAAGATATTTATGCTGGATGTGCTCATAGGTATGTCCCAGCTCGCAGCCTATGCCCCTTCCTTATTTGGACTTCCTCTTTTCCTTTGTTCTCCATTGCCTTTACCTATTTAGAAAAGTTTTAAATTGTTAGCCAATCAGGTTCAGTTTTAGATTGTGAAGTCTGGCTCCAACCAATGGAGAGCTGACACAGCAATAAAGACCTAATAAGTAAGGAATAAATATGCCTGCCTTTCCTTTGTTCATTGTACTCTTGTAGCAAGATACCTGACAAGGAGTACCTTTTCTACAGAAAGTAAAATTGCCTCACTGAGAAAACTTTTTGTCTGAGTGCTAATTTTTCCTTGCAATACCTAACAAATGTTCTGTCTCTAATAACATAATATGTAAGCTAAGATAAATAGAAGTTGGTGAGTTTTTGTCTTAGATCTTTGGTGTGTAATAGTTCCTTCAAAGTCTGTCATTTTTAAATTTTTCTAGATGGGCAGCAAATTTGGGAGATGGAAGCCACCGTGGATAAGGACAAGAGCCAGCCTGTAAGCATGTGGACGCACTGGCTGTCAGGCAGCTGAGTGTCTCTGAACCCCCGTCATGTTCCCTCCCTCATGCTCTCTCCTTCTTTCCCTCCTTCCTTCATCAATGGCCCCCAGAGCTTTGGACCTAACAGGTACTCAATACATGCATATTAATGAGTGAATTTAGCATTTATTGGACATCAGGTTCTCTGATTTGTAGCTGTGACATCTTAATGTATTTTGATGTAGTATTTTTCTTTGCTGCTGCTGAAAAGTTAAATTCCCCTGAAACTGAACTTCCCCTGCAAACCTATGAAAGGCACATCAAAACACCCATTAGATGGTGGGCTGCCTGAATGTACTTAGGGTGTGGGCAGGAACTTAGACATGATTGCAGTTAAGTTCATGACCACTCCTTCTTTCCAGAACATGCTTTTTGTTGAGATCCCTGAGTATCGGAACAAGCACATCCGCACACCTGTAAAAGTGAACTTCTACGTCATCAATGGAAAAAGAAAACGAAGTCAGCCTCAGCACTTTACCTACCACCCAGGTAAGGACTGTCTCTGACGGCCCTGTTGTTATTGAGAGGCAGGACAGGCACGGGGCTCAGGATTCCTGAAGTTTGCTCCTAGCCGGGTAACTTTGGACAGATGACTCAACCTCTCTGAGCCTCAGTTTCATCATCTGTGAGACAGCATCTTTCTTATAAGGGTTCCAGAAATGAAATGCACATAAAATCCTTAGCACAGCGCAAAGTAAGCTGATGTCAGTGATATTAGCTATTATTGCCTGAGTACTTTCCTTGGGGGAAAGGGGTAATAGAAGAAGGGCATGTGTATGCATGTACAACTGAAGGGTGCTAAGTGGATGACTCCTGTCCCTGGCTTAGATTTGATCATGATAGAGGCGTCAAAGGTGGCTATGCCCTAAAACCTATAGAATCTTTATGTGACCCCTGTGTGGGTCATCACCCTGTGGCCTAATGAAGTGAGTGACTGATCTATAACCGGGCCAGAAGGTCTCATTCCCACAAAGTACAGCCCCAAGAAAGGTGAAGAGTACCATTTTGTCATTCATTCATTTGTCCAGAAAATACAAGAGTGCCAGGCACTGTTCTTGGCTTGTAGACACAGCCGTGAACACTACAGGGTAAGAATCCCTGCCCAGGTGGAACTGCCGTTCTAACGGGATGAGGTCATAGCTAATGTTATTATTGATACGTTGGATTATGATTGGGGCTGCGGAAAAGGTGGACAGGAACAGCCAGGGGAAGCATAATTTTGTATTTTAAAAATGTTTCTCTGAGCTCTCCCTTGGGAAGTAGGCTACAGGCTTCCCAGGTTGAGAAAGACATGCTAGCCACCTTTCTAAGACTGGAAACCTATAATTCGAGACAATCTCGCAGGGTATAATTTCCATGCTGTGGCAGTTTCACAGGCAGCCTCTGGGCTGCTGGAAGCATTAAACTGAGGGGTGTCCTGGCAGCCTGGCCTTGGTGAGCTTGACTTGTGCCCACAGTTTTGTGTTGACCCCTGGGAGGACACTGCTGTCCTGGGGCAGACATGACACTTTATCGGGGCAGGGTTCAGACCCAGAACTGTGGGAGATTGCTGGGAGGCTCTAGACTGCAGCTCAGGAATCCCTTTGAGCAGACAGCTTCTCCGTTCTGTTTTCTGGTGCTCTCTCCTCTCATTTGTGGCCGGGCCTTGGCCCTTGTCTGGCTGAGTGTGGCCTGAGTGAGCTCTCCGTCTCCCAGTTGGGCCAGGGAGTGAGGTGACAGCCTTTGAATAGTGTCTCAAGGGACAATTTCTGTGGTTGGATACAGCCCTGCCTAGTCTCCTTGTCTCCTCCAATCCCCAATACTTGGTGGTCCCTCACCACTCACGCATGTGCACGTGCGTGCGTGCACACACACACACACGGTCACAGTCCTGTCGCTGATTCATTCACTTTCAGTAAACAGAAAACTGATTCCTCAACTCCTGGGATTGGTATGGTTGCTGGGGAAAGAGTAATTTCAGTGATTGGTGCTGGGCAGGGAGAAAGGAATGGCCACAGCGACAACACAAATGCTAATCATGATGGATGATAATAGTAAGAGAATAGCAGCAACAGCAACCATTGAGCACTTACTGTATGCCAGCCACTGCACTCACTGCTTTGCGTACACATCTTATTTAATTCTTCCAATGATCCTGTGTGGGTAGGTATGATTGTCACCACCAGGTAACAGATGGGGAAACTGAGGCTTGAGCCAGTAGTGCCCATTCCCCCAAAGCACTATAGAACGGAGGAAGGGGACAGTCACTACTCCGTCATTCCCTTGTCTGGAAAATATCTGAGTGACCATTAAGTACCAGGTGCTGTTTGGGGCCGTGAGGATCAAAATCCACACAAAAGTCCTCTCTTTGAGGAGCTGACTTTGGAGGCGGGTGTATTTAGGTAATAAATTGTCATGTAAAGCATCTGTGACATTTCTGATACGGATAAGCGGTAGACAGGAAAACAAATGGAGATAGGAGCTGCCAGGGTAGAAAGAGGGGGAGGTACCATCTGAAATCAAGCTTGTCCTCCGAGCTCTCACCTGGGAGAAATAGGCTGTAAACATCCCAGGGCGGAGTCAGACTCACCAGCCACCTTTCCAATATTGGAAAAATCTATAATTCAGGATGACCATTGCCAGGATAAAATTTCCTACCTAAGACAATTGCACAGGGAGCCTTTTGCCCAAGGCTGGTAAGTGACGGGGACCAACCGTTTGTTCCACTCAAATGGACTCCCAAGGCCATGTTCCCAAGCACCGTCCACGAATCCTCCGCACACACCCGTGGCTCACCGCCATGGACGCCCCATGTGCTCTTCTCTCCTCCCAGTCCCAGCCATCAAGACGGAGCCCACAGATGAGTATGACCCCACTCTGATCTGCAGCCCCACCCATGGAGGCCTGGGGAGCCAGCCTTACTACCCCCAGCACCCGATGGTAGCCGAGTCCCCCTCCTGCCTCGTGGCCACCATGGCTCCCTGCCAGCAGTTCCGCACGGGGCTCTCATCCCCTGACGCCCGCTACCAGCAACAGAACCCAGCAGCCGTGCTCTACCAGCGGAGCAAGAGCCTGAGCCCCAGCCTGCTGAGCTACCAGCAGCCGGCCCTCATGGCTGCCCCGCTGTCCCTGGCAGATGCTCACCGCTCTGTGCTGGTGCATGCCGGCTCTCAGGGCCAGAGCTCAGCCCTGCTACACCCCTCTCCGACCAACCAGCAGGCCTCACCGGTGATCCATTACTCACCCACCAACCAGCAGCTGCGCTGCGGAAGTCACCAGGAGTTCCAGCACATCATGTACTGCGAGAATTTTGCACCAGGCTCCGCCAGGCCTGGCCCGCCCCCGGTCAGTCAAGGTCAGAGGCTGAGCCCGAGTTCCTACCCCACCGTCATTCAGCAGCAGAATGCCACAAGCCAAAGAGCCACCAAAAACGGACCCCCAGTCAGTGACCAAAAGGAAGTATTACCTGCAGGAGTGACCGTGAAACAGGAGCAGAACCTGGATCAGACCTACTTGGATGACGGTAAGACGCTTGAGTTTTGTCACTGTCTGTAAGGATGGCACCCTGACGCATCTCTGCCCAGGAAGTTCATTGAGTGGCCTACAGATTACTTAACCTCTTTGGGCCCCCGTGTCACCATTTTAATTGAAGGAGGTTGAATAAGATGACCCTCAAAGCCACCCCCAGCTCTGTGCAAGAATTATCTCCCATCAGATGCCCCCCTCCAGGACGATCCCCATGGAAAAAGCAAATGAGGGCAACATGGCATCCCCCAGGTCATGAACTGGGTCCAGTTAACTGCTTCCACACTCTTTCCAATTGCCGAATTTAGACTGAGGCCACGAAAATAGAAAGGAAGGAAAGCTAACCTCCTTTCATTCTTGTACGGAAAAAAATCCCACTGGCTAGCCCTCTTTTGTGTATTTGACAGAGGGAGAAGGGAGGAAAAGGAAGAGGAAAACTCATTGAAAAGTGGCTTTATCAGAACAGCTTGCAGGCAGGCTGTGGGCACTTCTCTACCCTGTGCTTGTGGAACAGAGATGCACATTGATGGGAAGGAACAGTGGGCATCCGCTGTGGTGAGCCCAGCTGATGGGTGGTTTGGGCCAAGAAAAAAGATGCAGAAGAGGCTTTGTGTGAGTCTGTAGGTGTCTGTTTGTGGACAAGTAGTCTGGCCAGAGGGTAGTCTTATGGAGCATCTGTGATGAGGAGTTGGACCAGGATCTCAGAGAAGAAGGGCAAACTGCTTTGCTAAGACTCACCTGGGAGCTGCTAGGCACATTAGGAGGTCAGAGAGGGTGGGGTGAGCAGAGCAGCCTTGCCTTGGAGGCTCTAGATGGAAAAAGGAAAACAGACTGTTGGGCTTTCTTTATGTTTTTCTTTTAAAAATGTATTTGTGGGTTGAGTGTGGTGGCTCAAGCCTGTAATCCCAGCACTTTGGGAGGCCAAGGTGGGTGGATCACGAGGTCAAGAGATCGAGACCATCATGGTCAACATGGTGAAACCCCGTCTCTACTAAAAATACAAAAAATTAGCTGGGCACAGTGGTGCGTGCCTGTAATCGCAGCTACTCAGGAGGCTGAGGCAGGAGAATTGCCTGAACCCAGGAGGCGGAGGTTGTGGTGGGCCGAGATCGCGCCATTGCACTCCAGCCTGGGTAACAAGAGTGAAACTCCGTCTCAAAAAAAAAAAAAAAATTTATTTGTGAGTATATAGCAGGTGTGTGTGTGTGTGAGCGCGTGTGCGCGTGCGCGCGTGCATGTGTGTGTATTTATTTACCTATCGGGTACATGAGATGTCTGGAGGCAGGCATGCAAAGTGAAAGAAGCACATCGTGGAGAATGGGGTATCCATCCCCTCAAGCATTTATCCATTGAGTCGAGACGGTCCCATGACACTTGAAGTTATTTAAAAATGAACAGTTAAGTGATTGGAGTTTCTTACTAGCAGTAGGAAAAACCTAAATTGCCGGCTGTCATTCCCAGTTCCAGTCCTGTATTTTATAGGCAGTAGTATCTGCTATACTCTAAAACTTCAATTATTTCAGAAAATTAACTCTCAGGAGCCCAGCCAAGGGGTAAGAAGTAAAGCAGGAGCTTCCAAACAGCCACGATAGTTGCCATCAAGACCAGCTATGAAATTTCAGACGCTGCAGTGCCAGAAAGGTCCTCTGCTGCATAGTCAGAGGCCGTTGACCTTTACTCCAAGAAACATCTTGACAAGCCAGGTTATCTGGGGGCTCTGTGACTTCTAGTACTTTCCATACCCAATCTCTAGTGAGATAATCGATCAAAAACGTCCCTGAACTCACCAGGCAGAGACCTCTGGGGCCACTTCTTGTAGGGTCATCCTGGCCCATGTGCCTTACAAGGCTGACCTCTGGGCATTGCTGTGTTAATAATTGATTTGTCTGATCCTGAATAATCATGTACAGGTTGAGTTAGGGTCATGGTGCTCTGTTTTGAAAGGGAGACCTGCCTACAATCCATCCTTGAGCAATTTACATTCACATTGGTGACGATAAAGTTTTGGTGCTTATTTTCAAGAGGCAATCATGTTGAGAATTAACTAAGGCAGAATGCCCAGTGGTGGTAGATCAATGAAGCATGGCTGTAACCAGACCCTTCTCTACGCAAGGCCTTGGGGGATTGATTGTATTGGAGAAGAGGTGCTTTATAAATAAATGAGCTTCTGATCATGCAGGGGCGGATAGCTTGCCTCTGCTGACTCTGCACCTAGGGCTGGGCTGGTCTCCAGAGTGAGAAACACATTGGCCTCTCCCACCCCATCCATCCTGTGTTAAAGGCAAATGGTTAGTGTCTTGGATATTGGGGCACCCATGTCCACATGGCCCGAGATCGTCATGACTGGCTGTTGCAGCCCCAGATCCACAGATGTCCTTGCCATTTCCACAGAAACTCAAATTACAGAGAAAACAGCTGGGCATGGAGACCCTTTTGGGCTCCTGGAGGCCCTTTCTGAACACAAGCAGGTTCACAGTCATGGTGAGAGGGAGTCCCGCCAGGTCGAAACCTGAGTCAGCTCTGAGGATGTCTCAGAGAACGGAGCGAGGTGAAACTGAGGTACATGCTGTATGACCACAGCCCATGGGATGTTAGGAGCTATTTTCTGAAGGACGGTTCCATGGCTTTCAAAAATGAAAAAACAAGGTTAAACCAAGTTTGTTTGTTTTTTTTTTTGAGACGGAGTTTCGCTCTTGTTACCCAGGCTGGAGTGCAATGGCGCGATCTCGGCTCACCGCAATCTCCGCCTCCTGGGTTCAGGCAATTCTCCTGCCTCAGCCTCCTGAGTAGCTGGGATTACAGGCACGCGCCACCATGCCCAGCTAATTTTTTGTATTTTTAGTAGAGACGGGGTTTCACCATGTTGACCATGATGGTCTCGATCTCTTGACCTCATGATCCACCCACCTTGGCCTCCCAAAGTGCTGGGATTACAGGCATGAGCCACCGCACCCGGCCAAACCAAGTTTTTTAAAAAAATTTTTTGTTGCAGGACTTCTCAGTCTTTACTATGCCAGTGGTCATTATCCATCTCTAAAACGAGGGGGTGCAGCACAAACGAGAGTGCCCCGCACACTCCAGGTGGTGCTGTCCCGCTGTATTGTGCTCCGCGAGAACGGAGGCCTGGGAGTTGCGCAACACCGCTGACCTGCACAGTCCTTTCCCAGTACTTGGCAGAAATAGCATACAGGAAACTCCAGGGCTCTGAAGCTCAGCACTGCCCTGTCCCCTATGCCGTATTCTGGCTTCTCAGTTTTGGGGCTGCACATTCATGAGGCCAGAGCCTGATGGGGCAGTGGAATGGTTTCTACCCATGTGGCTCCAAAAGGCAGCAAGTGCCACTAGTTCCATTCGGGGCTCCCCTGGCCTTGACTCCAAGGCTCTGCCCAACCTAGGACCCTCCAATGGACAGGTCCCCTGGTGGCTCATGCCCAGTGGCAAGCCCCAGGCTGTGTCTCCACCATAGCCAGCTGACAGATGTGGGCACAGTTGTGTCTCAACTGCTGGAATTTCAGATTCTCCTCCAGAGTCTGTCTAGCCTGTGCATCCATGGAACATTCCAGATGTGCTGCCATTGGCTCTATGGATATGTGATTTGCACATCTTGGTTTGCTGTTGTGTTATTTCTGACTAGTAAACTGGAAAATCTCCTGGGTCATTCCTCGGGTGTCTGGCAGGGCAGCTTCCTCGGTCTTTAGGTCCTTTTCTCTCCCTTTCATTTATTATTCCAAGGGAGTCTGTCGCACACAGCATTTATTTGGCTGTATAGGGCACGTGCTATACAGTGTGATGTGCTGCCAGCATATGGGCATTTTTTTGTTTTTTGAGATAGAGTCTCTCACTGTTACCCAGGCTGGAGTGCAGAGGTGTGATCTTGGCTCACTGCAACCTCCACCTCCAGGTTCAGTGATTCTCCTGCCTCAGCCTCCCAAGTAGCTGGGATTACAGGTGCACGCCACCACGCCCAGCTAAATTTTGGATTTTTGGAGATACAGGGTTTTACTGTACTGGTCAGGCTGATCTTGAACTCCTGACCTAGTGATCTGCCAGTCTCAGCCTCCCAAAGTGTTGGGATTACAGGCGTGAGCCACCGCACCCAGCCTAGTATTTCTGATTTGCCATTTATTTGCCTTGGGATTTTGCCAAAGTGGGCTTTCCATGGAAATTGTGAGAGCTGGGCTTATGTTTTTTGAGGGTCGAGGGAAGGTTCTGTGGCTGGAAAAGGAAGCAGTTACCCGGGTCCTCCCTCCCACACAAGTGCAAACAAACCACCTTTGAAGCGGAGCCTGCCCCTGCCTGGGAGTCCAGGGAAGCCCAGACTCAGCTCTGGGTTATCACTTCCTGCACCTTGGCCAGTGATCCCAGTGTCATGTCTGGACATCCCAACCCGCTCCCTCCAGGGGCGTCTGTACTTTATCTCGGACCTTCCCGCCTGCATTCCTGCACACAGACGCCGACTGGCTTGGCCCCGTTCGTTGTTGGAATGCCAAGGCACTGCTTCTGCTTTCTCCACTCCCAAGTTCTTGAGACATTTTCAAGAAGTCTCTTTGAAAAAGCAAAATAAGTGATATTCCAGGGCCCAAGGCATCCACTTCCCCAAGCCTCGGGTTTCTCCACCCACCCCAATTCAGCTACTTTCTTACAGTTCTTTAAAAACATGTGATCTGTACACTACCACTTGCTTTCTCTCTGCTGCCATCCCCCTTCCATGACTAGCTTCTTTTTCTAAGGCCCCAGGTTGTAGCTAGGGAAAGCACCAGCAGCTCCTAGGACTTAATTCTTCCCTACCTTCCTCCCACACTTCTCTCCTCCCCAGCCCTCCCCGTCCTTAACCTTCCTTCTTCCCTCTCTCCCTCCCTCTCTGTGCTTGACACTTGACTTCTCTATCCTTGACTCTCCTTCCCTCTCACCCACAAGTATTTTCGGGCTGTCTACTCTGTGCTGGCACTTAGGGATCCACCAGTGAACAAATGAAATAAAATCTTGGCTCTCAGAGTA